TATTTTCTCCATCTATAAATTTTTTGCGATATTCTAATATAAATATATACAGGGTGCCCCAAAAAGATTGGAACACTGAACAATCTCGAAAAGTATACGTTTTACAGAAAAAAGTTTCAGACAAAAATTGTAGGGAAAAAAATCTATTTACTAATCTTATCAATTTGACTTTGGACGGCGTTACCAAGGTCAGAATAATGTCCTCGAATTTCTTAGATGGAATCTTATATTTTTTATTACATATTCTTGTAGCTTATCTCGAGAGCTTTCCAAAACATTATAATAAAATTATTTTTTATTAAGTGCTCTTTGAGTTAGGTTAGAAGCTAACAATTTTTTGACATAAAATGTTAAATATCTTTGTAAAATAATCCATTTTCGGTAATCATACCTACTTTCTTGCACAGTATAATAAGATCAATAAAAAAACAGATAATTGTTAAAAAAAATATGTAATATTCAATATGCAGTAAGCATACTTTTTTTATAAGCAATTGTTTTTTTTTTACACCAATTCATTGGTCTCATTATTCCGTGCAAAAAAAGATATGATTACCGAAAATGAAATATTTTACAAAGATATTTTACATTATATGTCAAAAAATTGTTAGCCTTTGTAACTCAAAGAGTACTCAATAAAAAATAATTTTATTAGTGTTTTGGAAAGCTCTCTAGATAAGCTACAAAGATATGTAATAAAAAATATAGAATTCCATCTAAGAAATTCAAGGTGATCTTATTCTGACCTTGGTAACGCAATCCAAGGTCAAACTGATAAGATCAATTAATAGATTTTTTACAACTTTTGTCTGAAACTTTTTTCTGTAAAACGTATACTTTTCGAGATTTTTCAGTGTTCCGATCTTTTTGGGACACCCTGTATATACACACACACACATATATATATATATATATATATATATATATATCGATTTATTTAGCAATCTGTCGTCTATCTATCGAAATATCTATCGATTTACTTACCTATCTATCTATCTATATGTCTGTCTATCTGTCTATTTATCTATCGATCTATCTGTCTATTTTCTCTCTTCTACATTGCATTCTTTCATACATGCACACGTATATAATAATTTTTTTTAAATAATCTACATTGCCAAAATAAAAATAATTAAATTTATAATCTAAAAATATATAAAAATCTTTTATGAATATAATTACCTACTAATAATTGATTATAAAGTTTTAGTGGATAATTTTTTGTAATAAATAAATGATTTATATGATTTATTCTCATCTATCTACTGCTCTGTTTTGATAATAATAGTGTTATTATCTATTCAATCTCAAAAATACTCTTCAATCTCTAAAAACAAAATTTTATATAAATCATTTATTTATTACAAAGAATTATTTACTTTATAATCAATTATAAAAGATAGGCCTGTTTTTACACATACACACACACACACACACACACATATAACTTGTTAGCTAGAATGTAGACAAAAAAATTGTTACACCCTAATCTACATACATACATACATACATACATACATACATACATATATATATATATACATATGTGAGTGTGACAAAAATTGTTTTGTCCACATTCTAGCTAACAATTTAAGTTATATGTGAGTGCGCGTGCGTGTGTGTGTATGTGTATAACAGGCCTATCTATAATAATTATAATTGATTATAAAGTAAATAATCCTTTGTAATAAATAAATGATTTATATAAAAGTATTTTAGAAATTGAATATAATAATACTATTATTATCAAAACAGAGCAGTAGTTAGATAAGAATAAATCATATAAATCATTTATTTATTACAAAAAATTATCCACTAAAACTTTATAATCAATTATATTCATAAAAGATTTTTATATATTTTCAGATTATAAATTTAATTATTTTTATTTATGTAATGCAGATTATTTTAAAAAAATTATATATACGTGTGCATGTATAAAAGAATGCAATGTAGAAAAGAGAAAAGAGACAGAGAGACAGAAACAGGAACACAGAGAGACAAATAAATCGATAGATAGATAGATAGGTTGATCGATAGGTAGATCGATAGATAGTTCGATAGATAGACAGGCAGATAGCTAAATAAATCGATAGGTATGTATATTTCTTTATAAACATTTTCTACGCATACATACGCATACATACATACATACATACATACATGCATATAAAGAAATATACTAACCTTTTCATCCAGCCTTTCTTAAAGGAAACTCTATGTTGACAAAGAGGCAGACGTTTTGCGTTATATTATTCTATGTATGAGAGAGAATAAGATAATATGACTGTCTGTCCTTGTCTAACTGCACGATTGCAGTTCGCTCTATCGCGACATCGCGCAACTAATTTTCTGCTCTGTTTTATTCCTAAATGTCATTTCGCACATACACATGTGAATGAAATATTCCATAATCGAGATCTTTTTTATTAGACTTCTAAACTTATTTCTGCAAGTTCACTAATATTCCTTTATGCAATCTTTTGGAGGAAGCGGTCTTATTTTGTACGTATAAATTGTGAAACTTTTATACAAGCAAATATTGTTATGACGTGACGCGAGAAACCAAAAAAAAAACTCGTATTTAAAAATTTTTTGTTTTTTTATCACACATTCAGACTGCTCCCTCTTTTATTATTGTATTAACTTTAATCGTGGAAAAGCATTTGTTATTCTATTAACGCAATAAAAACTTCTTGATTGTGGCAAAATATAATCGGTTCGGTCGGTAAAAGTAGACCTCCGGCATCCCCTTAAGTCGGTGAACGGAAATTCGGTGGTCAGTCGCGGGTCTAGGTATTTCTTATTCTAGGGGAGAGAGAGAGAGGTAGTTAGAGAGAACATACACGGTGGTACATGAATAGACATATATATTGCAGACGCTTACAAATAAAAAAAAATAACCCTACGGGGAAAGAATAGATATTAACAATTTGACGAGATAATAATAAGTAACAGGGATTATTGAACATAGAAAATTTTACCTACAAAGAGGTAACTCGCGGCGTCAATGGTATCGATCCTTCAATGATCGGAAATCCGGAATACAATAAATAATTATGATAGTTAACAATCGCGGCTGATTGAACAACGGTATTCTAACGACGAAAGATATAACAATGTTCGGTAAACGGACCGATAACTCAAACTCGCTATCACGTGAACACGGTATGCGTAGAGGTCACATCAACACGAGTCGAAACACGGCGCGATACAAAAAAAACGGTTAACGAGAATTAACGGCAATTTCGTGACTTTCTTGCGCGACTCTTGCCGAGTCGAAAATTGAATAATTTACACACTCGCGGAGAACGGCTACACGCAAATTTCGCAATTCTATCCATAGAAATGCTTAAGGTATAAGATTTTACACTTGATTATCGTAACTTAAAAAAAAACGGGATCTCGGAACATAACGGTTAACGAGAATAGAAGATTCTCGCTTTCAAAAAAGATTGACTGTTGGCGGCATTCCGCGGAGAGGGCGAATCTCGTGAAACCCAAAGCCGGCTGGCCTCGCGGTAACGTTACTTGAAGAGAGAGAGCACCCTCTCTCTCGAACAAGGCGATACAGTAGACGAAAAAAACGAAACGGTACTCCCGGTAATTACTTTAATTTCACGGTACCCTCGACACCAACCAACACCCACGACACTCACGAACAGCTACCCGAGAGACGGTTTACAATAATTGGCGATAAAGTCCGAGGTCCTGGTGGTATCTAGGCCGGTCTCTGGAGCCCAGATAGCACAAGGATGTCTAATGTATGTCCAGTGAATATCCATTCTTGGACATTGGGACATCCTTTAAAAATCCAAATAAGGTCCGTCGGACATTCGATGAACGTCCATTAGATGTACATTATGCACAACTTGGTACGTCCACAGAATGTCCGAAATATAGCCAACTTTGGATCAATTATGGATTGATTTTGGATCTATTATGGACTGATTTAGGATTTATTCTTTTAATTGTAAATATTAATTAAAAACTACAATTAAATAAATTTTGTTTAGTTTTTATTTTTATTTTATGAATAATACAATCATGTGTTAAAAAATATTTAACACAAAACAATATATAATTTTTATATTACTTTTATACGATAAACTTTGGTATAGGAAGAACAGCCGTTTAATAAAATACTATTAAGTTTTTAATACTTATAATATTATATATATATTAATAGTTAAATAACTTTTCTTCAATATCAATAACTTATTTCATCTATGTAATAATAATCGAAGTCATATACATATAGCTAGTTTATATCTTAACGCATTTTATAAAAATTGTTCATTTTGTTAATACAATTATCTATTTTTTACCATTTAAGTCGCGCGCAAATCCGTATATATCAGAGATATTTTTTGTATTGTGCGTAAACACGATATAAGTCCTCATATATTAATTTGGTATTTCTACTGTGAGAGTTCAGTATCAGCAATATATCAATAACTATCATCTAATATAAAAATACATTTTTATATTAGATGAAAGTTATTGATATTGCTGATATTGAGCTCTCACAGCAGAAATATGAAATTATGAGGCCTTATCGTGTTTACGCACAATACAAAAAAAATTTCTGATATATTATATGGATTTGCGCGCGACTTAAATGGAAAAAAAATAGATAATTGTATTAACAAAATCCGTAATATTTTAACATACTTTTAACGCAATCTATGTGCGCAGAACAAAAACATAAAAATTCTTTTAACATACTTTTAACGCAATCTATGTGCGCAGAACAAAAACAAAAATTCTTTTAACATACTTTTAACGCAATCTATGTGCGCAGAACAAAACAAAAAAAAATTCTTTTAACATACTTTTAACGCAATCTATGTGCGCAGAACAAAAACATACAAATACTGTGGAATAAACAAAAGAAATAAAGTAAAAAGGGAAAGAAATACATATATATAACGAGTATATATAAAATTATATGAAATGTTAACGAAATTAAATATCTTATAAATCTTTTGTCCGTAAATAATCTAAATATTGTTTAACGTGTTATTTATACGTTTAAATTAAATTTGACGGCGTGTTTTATAGAAAATCTATCTTTTTCTTAATATAATGTCGCTCAGAAAACAACTAAACAAAAAATAAAAATAATGCAATAAATAAAACTTGTCTTTGATCACACATATCAGTTGAATAATCGAAGTCATATGGCTTATATCTTATAGCATTTTGTAAAAATTATTCATTTCATATTCGCCAATTTTGTTTCACTTGCATCGAATCGTTCCTTTGCTCTTCGTAGCCACTTTTGTGCAGATTCTTCTATATCCTTTTTCGTAAATGATTCGTTGTATCTTTCCCCTGCAGCTGTAATATAGAATATAAATCGAGTAAAAATGTTTTTGAATCAGTTAATTATTTACTTTTAGAGGTCTTCGACTTTTTACTTCGACTTTTACGTTTTAAGCTGTTAACTATTTCGCAAATATTGTATGTTGCATTAGATTTATAGACCTTTTGATATAATACATACATATATATATATATATATATATATATATATATAATATACATATATATATATATATAATACATATAAACGTTAAATAAACAAATCAAAATCCGGAAATCTAGACAGAAAGATCGTAAAAAATTTAATTTTTAAATTAATTTAGATAATATTAATTTTTTACCAATTAACATTTCCGCCAATTTCAATTCATAAAACTTCTTTTTATGTTTCTTTCCAAACCAACTGTAGGTTTGTGCTAATTTATTACTTAGAAGTTGGTTCAAATTTCGTTTCACAAATTCATAGCAATGTTTGCCACCAGTACGTAATGCTTCTGTTACCTGCAATTTGTGTGTTAATGTTTATTATTTTATAACTTTAAATATTAATTGTATAAAAAAATGGTATGCATATAAGATATATATGTATCTGTGTGTGTGTGTGTGTGTGTGCGTGTGTGTGTGTGTGTGCGTAAACATACACATTTATATGTACATAATAGCAAATACATAGTAAAATAAAATATTTACATCTAAAAAATTAAAGTATTTAATATAAAAACAAAATACGTTACCGATGTCTCAAAATTGACTTGGTTTTTTAAAAATTGCTCGACTTCTTGTAATTCTTCTTCCGTTTCTAATGGAAGTGTAAAAAAACAGAAAACTGATTCCTGTCTTTGAATGCCATTATTAATGCCATTAGATTGATTTAATCCAATATTTTTTATCTCTCGAATGTCTTCGGACGTTTGCCACAATTGCGCCTTGAAGTAATTTTGTTGACGAATTATTTCTTTAAAATATATTTCTGGAAAAACAATTATTACAAATAATTTTGTATAAACATATATACGCAATGAATTAAAAGTAATATATATACCATTTTTATTCTGCATTTGAACGTGTGCTGGACAAAGGTGACACGTGCATTCGAAATTAGTAAATGGTAAATTTTCTTTTCTTGAATTAACACAATTGACCTCAAAATTATTGTCCTGTTGTGCAGCTACCTGTTTGTCTATAGCTTTCAATTTTTGTAAAATAATAAAATTAGTTTAATAAATTAAATATAAAAATATTTTTTCAATATTTCTTAATATTATATAATAATAATAATTAGCGCTACGCGTGTCTCCCACGAAATGGGAATTATTTAAACTTTCACATCTTTTGTAATAGTAAATAATATTCCATCTTTAGATTACAGTTATGCATTCAAAAATACCATATTATCTGATTATTGATGCCTTTTTCCAGACTTCTTATAAAAAATATTATATATAACAATACATTATACATATAATATCACTTTTTATAGTTTACTATTAATTGTTAATAATTAAACATACCTTTTATACGCTCGAGCTTTTTCAGAGACAAATTATGTTGAAAAGACTCTCCAGAACATGAACTTCTTGATGTGTTACTTCTTGCATCTTGTGTTATTGCAACTTCTTCATCGGTATTTTCTCTTACCTCATCTTGTCCATAATTGTCTATAAATATAGATAAAATTTTCATATATTTATTTATATTTATTTATAATTATATATTTACTTTTTATTTATTTAGAGTTAAATATTTAAGTATTAATATTAAAATGTAAAACTTTTGTTTAAAAATAATGAAAAATATTTGGAAAAAGAGAGTGTTATGTATGTGTGTGTATATATATGTATGTAATATTTAATTGTAGAGTCATGAAATTATTAAAGAGACTTTATCTTAACTTATCGAGATTTTCTGCACGCAGATGTATACACTCACGCGTAGAAAATCTCCGAAAAGTTAAGATAAATTCTCTTTAATAATTTTATGACTACAATAAAATAAATAATTCTTCCTAAAGATTTAAAAATACAATACATACATTTTATTATAAAAAAATTAATGTTACTTATAAAATAATGTAAATAAACCTTTCAAAGAAGGAGGTGTCGGCACAAAATTGTATCTGCATTCGTCTTCTGAAGAAGAAGAAAAAAATTGCTTTTTCCTAATTTTCCTCTTTTTCTTCTCTTCACCAGACATTTCCGAGTTTAAATCTGATGTATTTTCAGCTTTTTTACACTTCTCCCTTGCTGTTATGTAATCATCTAAAAAATGTGGAAATAATTAAATAGTTAATAATTTGTATCAATATATAATAATTGACTATGAATCACTTCATATCATAAATATATTTTTTATTAATAAACTCTTGAATAAGTTCCAAAACGTACTGTAAGTGCTATTTCGAAAAATGGTTATTCCATATGAAGGCCAATGTATATCCGGCTCTTCATTTTTTCGAATTGCTGCTATTACTTTATCTTGTTGGAAAGATGGCCAATAACAACGATTATTATTAATCCATGCAGTTGGTACGGCTTCAACTGAATTTTCTTTGTTGAATTTTACAACAGTCCACGATGATCCCGGCATATTTATTTGAAAACAAAAACTGTATACAAGTACATTGAAAGAGGAAAAGAAAAAGAGAGAAAAGGGAAAGCAGAAGAGAGAAGGGAGAGAAGGAGAGGGGGAGAGAGGAGACAGAGAAAATGTATTGCATGCAATTATAATATTTAATTCGAATGTAAAAGGGGAAACACAACATACTGATCTTTATATTTTAATTTTAAGCATTTATATACAATTTGCGCTATGTTCCACATCTGTAAGTTAGTTTCAAGATTATCGACTAAATAAATACCTAATTGAGATGATCTGCAGGGTTCAGAATAAAAATCAATGAATGACTTATATTTATGTCCAATTACAAAAATATCTTTATCATTTGAAACAAAATTCTTAACAACTATAATAGCTCTATCACTTAAATAACAACAATTATCAGGTTCATCTGTTTTTAACGTATAGTTTTCAAAAGTAACTTTACTAAATTGTTTGCATATCTGAAAATCTGAATGTGAATTTAAATTATTAATGAGTGGACCGTTAAAATGCGGATTGTGAAGTTTACTATTAACTGTCTTTAGTTTTTGATTATCATTAACACAAAAATTTCGTTCACTTATTCGACAAACAATTTGTTCTAATACTTTATCATTTTTACGAACCATTTTTAAAATTGATTGCAAATAATTTTCAAATGGAAAAGCGCTAAATTCCTGCAGAGTTCCAAATTTTATTGCGTCATCATGAAGATGTAATAAGTTATGAATATTACTCGATGTATTTTGTTTGCCATATAGAATAATGAAGGTTTTCACAAAGTATTGTAATAATAATTTGGCATAATCTGAATAACGATTCATAAGCTTAGAATTTGATAAAATTCTAACAGCTACATGCAAAGTTAAAAAATTAATATATCTATCATAATTAAGAATAGATTTCAAAACAACAGGTCCCGTATACAACAAAAATGTTCTGAATTCAGTTGCTTTCCACCTTTTACATTCAAATAATGATCGTGTTTTTCGATTAATTTCGCATGGCACATTAATCTTTTGAATTTCTAACTTTTTCGATATTTCACTCATTTCCTTAAATGATAATTTAGATCGGGGTGTTCCAAAGCACCACAATTTGACAATTAATTTTTTGACAACTCCCAGATAAAGCAAATGCATTGGATCTGATGGAAAATCTTTTACCATATCTATATTAGGAATTGATTCTAGAATAGATGTACCTGTATGATGGTCTTTTTGTAATTTTAGTCTAAAATCATGATTTGTTCTTAAAGGAAAACTATTTAAATATGGATAACATACTCGATCATGAATATATTCCCCTTTTGCTGTACATTTCGGGCATGAATAATAACCGGAATGACCCTTTGTAAATGTAATAAAAGATTTAGCAGGTACGTCGCATATAAAAGCATTAATTTTAAATGAATAAGTTCGATCATTAATTGTTATACCGTGAGTTGTTAAAATAATTGCTTCATCAATGAAATCTTTTAAAAAAACGTTTGCATCTGCAGGCTTTTCATTCCCGTAATAAATTCCAACAATATTTACTTCATTATAATTTTCAATTAAATTGCATAAAATAGGATAAACTTGACCGCTTGAACTTTTAAATAAAGGGAGACCATCAATATTAATATTAACTTTAATAAACTGCAAATGTTTAATAGAATACCGCGACAAAAGTTGCTTGACACAATTACTTAAACCGAAATGATAATACTGCCCCGGTGTTACGTTTTGTACATTTACTTTTCTGGGAGTTTTCAATAAGCTACGAGCATCTGAAGGTAATTCCGGATATTTAGATTTAATACGTGTCATTAATTCATTTAGTGCAACATGTGAAATACGATTTTTAAGAGCCCATTCTTGAAGCCATAAAATAAAACCAGATGAAATATCGGCGAGATTATTAGATGCAGAAACATTATTAACAATGTTAATTACTTCAGTAATATCAAAATTGCTGTTATTTATACTTTCATTTTCTAAAACATTGTTACTTTCTTCAAAATAATTAGAATTACTATTTACTTGTTCAAGATTGTCAAAATCGTCGTTTAATTGGTAATTATTTCTACAAATGTTCTGTCTTAATAAAAAATTATTCGATACATCATTCGCACTACTACATAATGAAATATTACTATTTGAAATTGAGGATGCACTCTCTCTCTCTATTTGTAATGAATCCGAACTACAACTGCTGTGTACAATGTTAACTGTTGAGTCTGATATCTCTTTAACTCGTTGATAATATCGACGTTTTATTTGTGGCATCTTTTAAAATTATTAATATTGTTTTCTTACTTGTGTTAATTATTAATCTCTGCTGTCGATTGTTTATATAATCCCTGTTATATAGTCCCTGTTGATATCTTTCAGAAGTCCTATTTAGCGCCAAATATTTTCCACTCTGTCAAAGTGTCAGTGAAAATTACTGAAAAATAATTAGAAAACATTATTTTAATTATATGTGTATTCTTTAAGAATTAAATATTCGATTTCAATTTTTTTAGCAATTAAGAATATGTTGAAAAATTTATGTTTTATGTTTTAATTCAGTAACTGAACTATGCTATTGAACAATTTTGATAAAATTATTACATGCTTTTGTATGATTGTTATGAATAAACACTTGTGTAAAATTTAAAACCAATGCGACATTTTGTCTTGGAGTTATGTATATAAATTAAGATTATTAAATTATAAATATTTATAAAATTTCTTAAAATATGGAGGGGAGAGGGTAGAAGAGTGGGTATGGGGAATGTGCAACAGAGTATGGAGAGGAGAAGGATGGCCGGAGAGGTGGAAAGAAGGGATAATAGTGCCACTGTTGAAAAAGGGAACGGGGAATAAAGTGGAAAACTATAGAGGAGTAACATTGATGCCAACGCTATACAAGATATACGTGGGGATTTTAACTGAAAGGTTAAAGGAAGAAATGGAGGGGAAGAATATGATACCGGAGAGTCAGACAGGTTTTAGGAAGGGAATGGGGGTGATGGATAGTATCTATGTGTTGAACTATCTGGTGAATAAGAGGGTAAACAAGAAGGGGGGAAAGGTAGTCGCGGCATTTATGGACCTGAAGGCGGCGTTTGATTCGGTAGATAGGGAGGTGTTAATGGAGGCAATGAAGAGGAGGGGAGTGAGGGAGGGATTAAGGAGTAGGATAGAAGAGGTGTACAGGGAAACGAGGAGTAAGGTAAGAGTGGGGAAGGAGGAGGGAGAAAATTTTTGGACGGCAAGGGGGGTGAGGCAAGGTTGCCCAATGAGTCCGCACTTATTCAGTTTGCTGATAGCGGATATAGAGGAAGTGCTAAGAAAAGGAGGTTGGGGGGGGGGTGAAACTGGGAGGGGAAAAGGTGCATTGTTTGGCGTACGCAGATGATATGGTACTGTTGGCGGAGGATGAAGAAGGGATGATACATATGTTGGGGAAAATGGAAAGTTATATGGACAAGAAAAGGTTAGAGGTGAATGTGGATAAGACAAAGGTAATGAGGTTTAAAAAGGGAGGAGGAAGAATGAAGAGAGTGGAGTGGAGATGGAAAGGAAAAAGGTTAGAGGAAGTGAAAGAATTCACATATTTAGGGTATAAGCTACAGAGGAACGGGGGGCAGGAGGCGCAGGTAAAGAACAGAGTTAGGAAAGCAGGAGCGGTGATAAGACAGGTGTGGGGAATGGGAAAGAGAAGGTTTGCAGGAGACTGGATGAAAAGAGTATGGCTAATGGAAAGGTTGGTGGGGACGGTGTTGGAATATGGGGCGGAAATATGGGGATGGAAGGAGAGGAGAGAGGTGGAGGCAATGCAGGAGCGATGGATTAGGTGGACGTTAGGAGTAGACTGGTGCACGCCGGGGTATATGGTAAGAGAGGAGATAGGAAAAGACAAATTTAGGATAAGGGCAGGAAGGAGGGCGGTAGGGTATGAGAGGAAGTTGGAGGAAGGAAGGGGAGGAAGTTTAGCGAGGAAATGTTTTGAGGATATGAAAGAGAGGATAAGGGGAGGAAAGGAAAGAACGATGTGGGAGGAAGAGAGGGGGAAATTCTGGGAAGAAAGAGGAATAGAAGGGAAAGAGATGGAGGAAAAAAGGGGAAGGGGAGAGGAAGTATATGAGGGGTGGGAACAGAAAGACAGGGAAAGGCAGAAGGAGGAAAGATGGGAGAGGATAAGAGAGTCGAGATATAATAGATGGTATGGGGAATGGAAGGAGGAGGGTTTACCGGAATACCTGAGAAAGGGATGGGGGGAAAGTAGATGGAGAAGGATAGTTAGGTTCAGAATGAACAATGAGATGAGAGGGGCGAGATACTGGGAAGAAGAGGGGAAAAGAAGGTGTAGGTTATGCGGGATAGAAGATGAAACATGGGAGCATGTGATAGGAGAATGTGGGGGAGAAGGGGGGAAGGGAAACTGGTGGGAAAGAATGAAGGAAATACTGCAGGAAGGAGGAGAAGGGGAAGGATGGATGAGAGAAATAGAGAAAAAGAGGGAAGAGGGGAGAACGGAAGAAAGGAGGGAAGGAGGGGAAAAGGAGGAAGGAAGTATGAGGAGGAGAATGAGTGAGGTATGAATGAGGTGGTGGAGAATGTATGGGGAATCGGAAGCCGAAGCGAAGCGATAGGTAGGGACGGCTCTTTCTCTCTCTAAAGTAGTAGATAAGTAGGTTAAGGTAGAATTAAGTTATTTGTAAATTAGATGTAAGAGTAGAGTTAAGAGTAGATATAAGTAAGATTGTAAGAGTTTGTAAGGTTGGGGAACGCTCCTTCAAAAGCGCCTTCAATCCCTTAGGGGACGAATAAAGAATTGAATTGAAATATAAAATTTCTTAAGTAATAATAATCAATATATTGATTAAAAACTTGTTAATAATATTTTTTCTACAGCTTTGAAACATTGCATTTTATACCTATAAATAATGTTCACTTAACAAATCTTTCCCTTGCTTCAATATAAAACTGACAATAAAAACCCAGTGAAATATTGTTATTGTATATTAACATGCAATGAATATGTATGTTACAATGCATATTCATTGCAATTTCTCATTCGCATAGATATATAACATTTGTATCAATCGACATACATTACACATATTATATTTATATTGTAGTTGTATCATTAATATATAAATGATATATACATATAATATATATTATGTAATATAATAAATATATCTGTATTTACTGGAAAGTACATATTTGTGATTAGATAGCTGATTTCTGAAGAGGACAGATTTGCAACATAACCTCAAAACAAAATGTATCGCTGTAATTATTGTGGACACCGAAACGAATAATGTTATTATTAATTTTTCATATATATTATTAATAACAGTACACTTACCTTTTCTTGTTGAATCAATGACCATTATTTTTCGAAAATTTCCCTTATATATGCTAGACACTCTAGTACGCGCGCACATTGCATGCTGTACCAGGCAGGAAAAGAAAACAAAAAATCGTGGAAGTAAAAAAACACGTCATACTTCCGTATCATAAGGGCGCCAAAAACAAAATGCAGCACACATGCGCGCATTAAAAGTTTATCTTAATTTTAAGATAAAAATGAATGATAGTTTTGACTGATAATTTTTAATGTTTTGCTTATCCTTATTTTTTATGTATTAATTGTAAAAAAAATCAGTCAATTTTTAAGCTATATTATAGATATATTAATATTTATATATATAATATTTTACTCTAATATATAATATATATATATACACAGGGTGTTAAAAAAGTGTCGCATTTGCTCAGCACCATTCGATAGAGAATAAAAATCTAAGAAGAAATGTCTAATACTATATTTTTCGATGCGATGAATAGTTTTGGCGTAATTAATTATTGACACTTTTTTAACACCCTGTATACATAACAAATATTAAATAAAAAATAGATCCAAATATGGACATAAACTGAACATCCAAAAGATGTTGCTAACAGAATATCCATTTCAATTCCAACAATGGATATCCTTTAAATGTCCATTTTATGTTCATGGACATATGGACCTAAACTGGACTTAAAATGGACATCCCTGGAATGTCCAGTGCTATCTGGGAGGCACCCTCACGTGTATCTAGTTCGCCGAACAGTCAAGAACCGGACCTCTCGCTCTTTGGTACTTGAGCGCCGCGCCGATCTCCCACGCATTCCTTCGATGATAAGGTCGATGGCGGGGGTCCTAGGGTCTCCCGGACTCTCCCCTAGCCGGTGTAGCTTCTCGCCGGAAATTTTGAACGCTGATCGAGAGGATGCTTTCTCCGACGTCTCATGCTGGCATTCCTCCTGCGGGATAGGCGGTAGGCTGGCCGGGCCATCCGTCCGTCTCTCTCCAGGAGATGCAAGGTGATCGATACTATCCCGAGTCCTCTCGGTATTCTATAATATGTCAATTGCATTACTATTGCGCGAGAGATATTTAACTAAATTTCGGCCACTCGATACTTATCTGCGCGAGATCCCCGGCTCTCTCTTCCTCTCGCTCTATTTCTCTCTCCATGCTCCTGCGGTATCCTGGCACATCCGGTCTTGCTTCCTCTTGCTGCACAAAATGGCTCTCGGACTGTCGTCGTCGCGCTTCCTAATAACCTTACGGCACGCGCATCGACAGACCGATGCTATGGGTAAATCCTAGTTTCGCACAGAAAGTCTTACAAAATACTTATCGCACCCTCCCCGATACGAGGGACGCTCCAGACCCTCGCGTCCTATCCGGTCGGGCTTTCCGCCCTTGTGACGGCGCTCCAAAGGCGTCATGTCACAGTGCACACTCACATTTATGTTTAAATTTTAAATATCTCAAAAATTATTTTACTTGCAGTGCTCTAATTTGGCATACAAGTGAAGTAAAATTACACTTTTATTTACTATAATTTCTAGAAAAATTCATAAAGTATTATATTTTTTATAAAATTTTGAATTTTTTTAGAAATGTCCGTGGTTGCTCTAACTTTCGTAAATTTTAAAATATCTAAATATAGGATTTTGTAAAGCTTTTGAAATAACCTACAAGAATATGTAATAAAAAATAGGTAATTCCATTTAAGAAATTGAAAATGATCTTTACGTGACCTTCAAATAACTGTTCAAGGTCAAATTAATGGCACGATCTTATGTTCCCCTCGAAATCCTACAACTTTTGTTTGAAACATTTTTTTTTTGTATTTGAAGTCATTTCTCAAATGAAGTGTCCGGGTCGGACTTTAGAGACATCCTATATACATATATATTATTCAATTTATAATTGATTGACATTAAAATCGTTCTAAATGTTATGTGCGTGTAAGGCACAGAGTAGTTACGGGATCGTTACCGAATGGGAACTGAGAAGTTCGGGACCGTCAAGGGGAAAGTTTACTCCCGTTTTATAATAGTTTTAATAAATAGTTAAAGATACAATCTTTTTAGGCTTACACGTTTTTGCGTTGATCACTCGTGTTTACAGTTTTGTTGAAACAGTACTTTACACAGCGTGTCGTGTTTAAATTAACTGGACCCTCGAATGTTATGATCGGGTCCTTTTTATATCTGGCAATTAGGTTATTAGGTGCAAGGGAAGGAGGTTATTGGAACGCTTCGCTTGCGCTTTCGATATTTCTTAATAACGCTTTGCTTACTCGGCTTGTGCTTACTTGGCGTTAACTTCGTTTGTTTATTTTGCAAGCTTGTGCGCTTAGCGTTTTCGCAAGTATGCGTCTTACTTAATTTTATAAATAATTATAATATATAAATATACTAGTTATAGCTTTTAGGGCTATAACATCCCTCCCCCGTTAGAAAAGAAAACGGAGGACCGTAGTTTTCTTAATCTTACAATATTACATACCATATATGCGGTATTTATAATATTTTTTACAGTATTACTTAATTCTAATACCGCGTGCTTTAACTACGTTCTAGTATCGGTCTGAATCTTAGTAGTGTGTTGGGTTTGTACACAGGTAATTGTTCTGTCTTTTTGTTTTTTCGAATGATGTAAATTATGATGGCTATTCCTACGGTTATGATTATTCCGTTGCTAGTGTTACATATGTTAAAGTTTCCTTGTCTATCGCAATAAATTCGTTTGTTACATCATTATATTGTTGTAGTCTAGAATTGGTAGTGCCACTATTTTTATAATGTCATACGTAGGCTTTGCTGTTAGTGGAAACAGAGAATAATAACAATTTTTTCTTTATCATAATACGCGCTTAAAGATATATATTTTTCTATTTCCAATCAGTTCTTAGCGTAGATTGAGAATGGGAAATATGAACCTCGCGTTTGAAGAAGATATTTTTGTAAAAGTTTTTTGTGTTGTTTGATTATATTCTCTAACTTTTTTTATATGCGCTAATATTCTTTGTGTCGATGATTTTTTTCTTTATGCTTCTATAAATAGCTTAAGCTTATTTATGTGTATGCGTATAGTCTTTCTCCCCTTTTTTATTGTATAATTTACTTCGAAGTTCTTTTCCAGTATTGTATATAGTCCGGTTCATAGCAATTTGAGTTTTTGCGATCGTCCTCGTCGTAACGTCTTGTCGTAGACCAGTGCTTTGTCACCTACTTTAAACTGCGTTACTTTGGTTTCCTTGTCATATTGTTTCTTCGCCTTACTTTTTTTGTTTTTCAGATGTTCTCTTGCCTGTTGGTTTGTGGCTCGTATTCTTTCTCTCGTTTCTTGTGCATAATTATTGTAATTATATGTTGGTTTCGGAGGTTTTGTCAGTGCTGTGTAGTTCCGCCTGTCGTCCGTACATTAGTTTAAACGGGGTATATCTCGTTGCTGTGTGTGGTGTCGTATTATACGTAAATATTGCGAACGGTATCCATTCATCTCAGTTTGTTTGATTTTTGTTAATATAATGTCATAGGTATTCGGCCAGCGTGCAATGCGATCTTTCTAAGGCGCCATTACTTTCAGGGTGGTACGCTGTTGTCTGTATTTTATTTATTTATAACAGTTTACACGTATTTTTAAACATTTTGCTAAGGAAATTCGTACCCTGATCTGTTAAAATTTTTTCGGATATTCCATTCTTAAGAACAATTTTTGTAACGAATTCTTTACTGACCGTACTTGCCTCTTAGTTTGGGATTGGTATGGCTTCGCTAAATTTTGTTAGATTGTTCTGGAACATTAGCAGATATTTGTTTCCTTGTGTGGTTGATGTTAGCGGTCCGACTATATCAAGGCACATTTTTCGAAAGGCATACTAGGCGTGTCTGTAATTATTAATGGTATTTTGACTTTTTTAGACAATTTATTCTTTTGACATGACTCGCATTTAGCTACATAGTTTTTTACGTCTTTTGTTAGTCCTGGCCAATTATGATTTAGGCGAATTCTTTTTAAGGTTCGCTCGATCCCTTGATGCCCTCCTAAAGGTGCATCGTGGTATTCATGTAATATCTGCTTCTTTTCTTCCTCCGTGTAATTTTTTGTTTCATCGGCGCTTTCTGCGTCTTCTTCCGTGTAATTTTTCGTTTTATCGGCGCTTTCTTCGTCTTCTTTTATCGTATATATGTTTTGCTCTTTCCTTGAGTCGATCGCATTTCGAATTACATTGCGACTTAATGCGTCAGCGTTTGCGTTAGCGCTTCCGGATTTGTGTATTATTTCGTAGTCATATTCTTCCAGTTTGAGTTTTCATCGGATCAGTCTCTCTTAACCCGGGGTCATTGACATTAAATAACCATATTAATGGTTTATGGTCGGTTATGATTTTTTTGTACCGTATACGTATGGCCTGAAATGTTTTACGGCCCATACTATTGCAAGTAACTCTTTTTTAGTTGTATTATAATTTCATTTGGTTCGCGATGAAACTCTGCTGGCGTAAGCAATTGGTCGGTCATTGTCTACCTTTCCTTGTGACAATACTGCTCCGATTGCAGTAGTCGGAAGCGTCGGTAGTCACTATGGATTTTGTGTGAAATCCGGGTATTGCAATATTGGTGCAGTCATCAATTTTTCTTTTAGTGTTTCAAAGACGTTTTGCTGATCCGTCGACCACTCACATTTTCCGCTTTTTTCGTGAGTTTTGTTAGTGGTTTGGCTATCTTCGAAAAATCTTCTATAAATTTTCTATAGTATCTTGCGAGACCTATGAAAAACTGTATATCTTTTACCTTTGTGGCCTTGGAAATTCCTTTATTGCTGTTAGCTTTGATGGGTCTAGAGATATTCCGTTTTCTGAGATTATGTGACCCAGATAAATTACTTCTTTGCACAAAAATTCGCATTTGTCTGGCTGTAACTTTAAGTTATTTTTTCGAAGTCTCTGTAATACTTCTCTAAGTCGTTTGTTGTGATCTTCTAGGTTTGCTCTGTATATGACGGTATCGTCAAGTTAAACTAGGCATTTAAATCCTTGCATCCCTATGAGTATGGAGTTCATTAATCGCTGGAAAGTCGCTGGCGCATTCTTTAATCCAAACGGCATTCGATTGAATTCGTAATGTCCGTAGGACGTTGAGAAGGCAGTTTTGTTTTTATCTCGCTCGATCCGAATTTATCGGAATTTGATAGTAGCCCGACGCCAAGTCCAGCGTTGTAAAGTATTTTGCGTTCCCTAATTGATCTAGTATGTGTGTGATATTAGGAA